CCGCCGGGGGGCCCCAGCGCCGATCCGAGAGATCCGCGCGGACCTCCGAGTTTTTATGTTTATGTTACTTTTTTCGGGGGAGCGTAAGACCCGGGTTTGCCGGGGCTCGGGTTCGCCATCGTTTTTTGACGACCGCGACTCGGATTTTGACGAGGAGGAGTTTTGTGGGATGGCTGCAGCGGGAGGCCTCGTCAAAATGCAGGCTCGGCCTCGTCATTTTTTTGACGACCTCGTCGGGGATTTCCGAGTCCCCCGTGCCCGGGTCTTACGTCTCCCCGATTTTTGTTCACCTATCTTCTCCCTCTCCTACGTCTGGGAGTGGAGGTGGAAAATCGGCCCACCGGCCCAAGCTCCGCAGAAGCGGCCGGGAGCGCGCGTGCGCGGGTCGATTTCCCGTTTGTTGCGGCTCGGGCCGTCCGGTCGGGGGCCGCGGCTCGCAGGCCCAGGGCTGCGCGGGGGGGCGCGAGCAGTGGCGAAGCGTCCTGGCGCGCCCAGAGCCCTACCAAACTCAGGAGGGAAAAAAACACACAGACACAGTTATTCGTCGATCCCCCAGAAAATATGGGAAAATATGGGAAGTGGGGGGGAAGACAGAAACCCAGAAAATATGGGAAAATATGGAGAATCCTTTTATTTGTGTGTATTTATTTGTGTGTCGTGGGGCCCCTTTACAAACATCTTTCTAATAACTTTTTGTGGTTTACACGAAATGTTCTTAGAACATTCCTGGCGGAGTTTGTCTCGTTTTATCGCATCTGGTTTACGTTCTAAGAACATTGTTTTTGTTCTTAGAATTCTTTGGGGTTGTAAGATGATTTCGTGGTAGGACTATAGGAATGCCGGGACGGTCGGTCCCTGCTCAAGGGGCGCGAACGCGAGTCTGCGCGGCGCGACGGCGGTATGGATTCTTCAGGAATCCAAAGGAACCCTGAGCAGTCGTCAGGGATCGAAATGAGTCTCATGTCTGGGGTTCCCAATGACTGGTCGTGCCTCCGCAGTAACCCTGGGGACTTTGCCCGATTCTTCTGAGCTCCTCAGGGACCCATTCCAAAGGATTCCCATGAACACCGCGTTCTCCTTCGAAGGTAAGATCCGCAGGGATTCAGTCACATGACAAATCGCATGTCGGGCTCGATACTGCGGGTGGGGGGGGCCTTTCGGAACCAAAGAAGAGTACTGTGCATGGCACAACGCGCAAGCTGTTGCAAGCGCGGTGACACATACTTCGAGCAATGGAGCCTGAGGATGTATCAAGCGAGAGCACCTTTCTGTAAACGAACCGCCTTCCACCCATGTAGCTGTTGCTGGCTCTAAGGACGAGTGGCGCTACGGCTATTCGTAGCCGTTTTGGCTAAAGCCCTTGTTACTCGAGCTATTTCGGGAAGTCGCCGTCGCGCCTGCACAACGCATGGCCCCTCGAATGTCGTCGAAGGGCGCCCCAGCGGAACTGCTGGTCCGCACACGTTGGACAGCGAGTCTTCCCTCCTTCTCGTCGACGTCGCAGCTCGCCGCCGAGGAGGAGAAAACGCTCCAGTTGCCTCCCCTGAAGATGCCTATCAAGCTGACCACGGCAGCCTGATTTGTCATCAGGTGGATGTTGTTCGTAGGCAAGGAGAGGCTCATCGGCGCGCGAGAGTCTGATGCCGAAAGCGTGACCGCCGTCTTGTATTGGCAGGACCAGATCATCACGACTGTCGGCTACGGTGACTTGTGCCCCACTTCGAACGACAGGCGGCTTACGGTGGCATTCTACGTGCTGGTTGGAACGTGATTGCCGGCGTGGGCGCGATGCACTACCAGTATGCTGGCCCAGGGGGCGGAGTAGACCAAGAAAGGCATGCTCTCAAACGCCCCTGCGAAGTCGGTCGCCGCTACGGGTGGGAGCGCTGGAATTATTCCGCAAGAGGCACCCGCCCCGGCGAGGGCCCTTTCCCGTGGTGAAAGCGTTGTTGGGATTCCGGGCGATGATCTTGGTTAAGACCAGTCTTTTTCAGCCTTGCGGACTATTGCGTCTGCGACGATTGTGATGCGTGCGACGTGACGCTCCATTTCGACGAGACGCAGGAATTCCGCGCAACATGATCAAGCCGTTTTACGCGTCTGTCATACATTAACCACTGTTGGGTTTGGTGATAAGGTTCCCCGTAACAGGGTGGGTCGGCTCTTTGCCACCGCCTGGATGATGGTTGGAGTCGCTTCTTTGGGCCTTTTATCTCGGTCAGATTGCGAAGGCAGTGATTTGAAAATTACGTGACAAGTTGTGTTTCGATTGGCATGAGTGAAGAGATTTTCTGGGTGACCGATGCTGACGACAGTGGCGCCCTTACGACGTACGGATAAATAGTATACAAGCTGCTGAATTTCAATATGGTTGAGGCGAACGACGTGCAAGAGTTGATCGACGGGTTAAATGAGATGAACCAGAACTAGAGCGGCACGCTGGACTACACGGAAGTCATGGAACCGACATGCAAGAGTTGATCGACGGCACCTTTGAATCTGTTTTCCATCGGCGGCGGGGCCGAGTTTGTTGCACCAGCGATGAAAGTTTCATTGTTGGCATTCGATTGTTTAGCAAGGGAATTGTTCGGCGCGTCAAAATGCTTGCCGCTCGCGACGAGGCGTGTCAGGCTGCCATGCTGGCTTGCAGGTGACGTCCGCCTGCGGTCAGCCCAGTGAATTAGTTGCATCTCTTTTCTTTCAGAAGCTGTGAAAGAGCGTGTTCTACCGCTGCTGGCGGAAAACCGGGGGGGGGTCACTACCGGTTCGAACCCCTCCCCCCCCCCCCCCCTCATCATGAAAAGGGGGGGGGGTCACTACCGGTTCGAACCCCCCCCCCCCCCCCTCCGGATCCGGAAAACCGGGGGGGGTCACTACCGGTTCGAACCCCCCCCCCCTCGAAAACCGAGTGGGGGTGCGGACAGTGGTGGGGACGGTGTTGGTGGGGACAGTGGTGAGGGGATAGCGGGACAGTGGTGGGGACAGTGGGACAGTGGGACAGTGGTGGGGACGGTAGTGGTGGGGACAGTGGTGGGGACAATGGTGGGAACAGGGGGGGACAGTGGACAGTGGTGGTGACGGTGGTGGTGGGGACAGTGGTGTGGGGACAATGGGAATGAGGTGGAAACAGTGGGACAGTGGAGGGTACAATGGTGGTGGGGACAGTGGTGAAGGCGGTGGCGAGGACGGCGGTGGGACAATGGGACAGAGGTACAGTGGGGACAGTGGTGGGGACAGTGGGGACAGTGGTGGGAACAGTGGGACAGCTCAGTGGGACAGCGGAGGAGTCAGTGGGACAGTGGGGACAGTGGGGATAGTCGGGCAGTGGTTGGGGCCGTGGAGACAGTGGGGAGAGTGGAACCGTGGTGGGAACAGTTCTGGGGACAGCGGGGACAGTGCGACAGTGGTGGGGCCACTGGTGGGGACAGTAGGGGCGGTGGTGGAACCAGTGGGGACAGCGGTGGTGAGGACAGTGGTGCTGGGAACACCAGTGGGGGATGTGATGCGGACGGTGGTGGGGACCGGGAGTCGTTTGCTGGCGGTGAGTAGGGGGGGGGGGGGGGGGGGGGGGGGGGGGGGGGGGGTTCGAACCGGTAGTGACCCCCCCGGTTTTCAGGATCCGGAGGGGGGGGGGGGGGAGGGGTTCGAACCGGTAGTGACCCTCCCGGTTTCGAGCGGGAAGGGGGGGGCGGGGGAGGGGGGGGGGAGGGGTTAGGGGAGGGAGGGGTTTTGCGGGGAGGGGGGGGGGAGGGTTCCAGCGGGGGGGGGGGGGGCGACCCCCGGGTTCTGGAGGAAAAGGTTGGCAATTTTCCACAGTAAAGCGGCGGTGGATCACGCTCTTTCGAAGCTGTACACCTTGCGTGCACATCCTTGGACAATCGTAAGTGCGCGCGAGGCGGTCGCGTCTCTGGCGCGAGACCCCGCCAGTGCAGCTTCTTTCAGTTCACCGCGGAAGTTTCCGCCTGGCGTGCACACCCATGGGCAATCGACGAAATAAGCGCGCGCCAGGCTAATGCGTCTCCGTTGGAAGTTATACATGTCATGTCCTGCTTTTTCTTGCTTCTCATTCGATGGGCAGCGATCAGTTTCTCTACGCCTTGTGCGCGCACCCTCGGAGTACTGATCCGGCAAGTATGCGCCAAACGATGCGTCTCTACCAGGATACCTCGTCAATAGTCGCTTCTCAGACCTAAGGAATCAGATCGGTACGTTGTACGTTTGTGGCGTTTCGAACGGCCGCCGACTGGCCGTTCCCTCCGGTACGAAAACGAGTGGCGTTACGGCCAGATCCACATTTAGAGAACGGTCCGTTGTCTTTCCTTGTAAAGGCCTTGGAGTCGAATGCGCGACAACATCATTTTGTAAACGACTTTTGTTTCAATCAGTGTATCTATTGTCGTTGTCAAGCTTCAGGGCCATACTTGTAAGGAAGTATTCGGCGAAGCTGCCAGCTGGTCTTTCTGACCCGTACACTGGTGCGACGACGAGGAATTGTTTCCGAGGAGGAGGGATGGAGAAAGCAGCAAGAGTCTTCCGCCTTTCCCCATGCCCCCTCATACCCTGAATCCACTCCTGCATATTCTCCTCCCCCTTCCCCTCCCTCCTCTTCCCGCCTCCCTCCCCGCTCTCCTCCCGAAGTGTTCTCTGGGCTAGCAAGACGGTCCAAAGCAGTCCCTCGTCCCTCTCCACTTCCTTCTCGCCATACCTCTCCTTCGAGCGACCTTCCCCCTCCCGTCCCCCCCGTCCCCCACGACGATGACGAGGAGGAGGAGGACTACGGACCATGGATGAACGACGATAGACGAATGGCGAACGACAACATCGATGATGACGGCGACGAGCACGACGCTGACGATGACATCGGAGGTCGACCGACGAACGACGACATCCGCAGCAGTTTGTCTCAAGCATTGCTGTTTTTAGAGGTTTGCCTGTTTGGTTCAAACGGGACTGGGCTCACGCCGCGATGATCAACATCCGGCGATTGTGTTCAGAAGGCTATGTCTCTTTCGAATTGGCAAGCAAGGAGTGTGGCTGGACCACACAATGGAGGGCAGCAGTGCAGGTTGTTCTGCGGAGGAATAAGATTATGTATGGAATTGTCCCCAGGGCACTACAGTGCGACTGCCAGCTTATTCAGAAAAGGCGGGCAATGGCAAAGGGCACTGCCGCTGATCAGTGAGATGTTTGAGTCGACGGTCGGGCCTAACGCTACCATCTACCGCGCTGGAGTCAGCGCGTGCGACAAGGACGGGCAGTGGCAGCGGACTTTAGCACTATTGGGCGAGATGTGGGAGGCGAGGCTGGAGCCAGACGTCATCATATACGACGCCGGGATCCGAGCTTGCGGGACGGGCGAGCAGTGGCAGTTGGCTTTGGTGTTGCTTAGCAAGTTGTGGGAAGCCCGGTTGGAGCCCGACATCAACAGCTACAACGCTGGGATCAGCGCGTGCGACACAGGAGAGCAATGGCAGCTAGCCCTGTCTCTGCTTAGCAAGATGCTGGAGGCGGACGTGGAAGCGAACGTCATCAGCTATAACGCTGGGATTAGCGCGTGCGACAGAGTAGGGCAGTGGCAACAAGCTCTGTCGCTGCTCAGTGAGATGCGGGAGACGAAGTTGGAGCCCAGCGTCATCAGCTACAACGCTGGGGTCAACGCTTGTAAGAGAGGCGGGCAGTGGCAGCGGGCTCTGTTGCTGTTTAGGGAAGTGTGGGAGGTGAAGTTGGAGCTGGACGTCACCAGCTTCCAGGCTGGGATGAGCACATGCAATACAGGCAGGCAGTGGCAGCGGGCCCTGTCACTGTTTAGAATTATGCTTGAGGCGAAGCTGGAGCCTGACGCCAAGAGTTACAACATTGGAATGACCGCGTACGGGCAAGGCAGGCGGTTGCAGAATGCCCTGTCACTGTTTAGAGAGATGCTGGAGACTCAGACGGAGCCCGACACCTTCAGCTACACCGTCGCGATCGGCATGTGCATGAAAGGCGAACAGTGGGAGCATGCCTTGGCGCTGTTCAGCGAAATGTGTGAGGCTCAGTTGGAGCCCAATGCCTTCAGCTACAGCACTGGCATCAGCGCGTGCGGGAAAGGCGAGCAGTGGCAGCATGCCTTGGCGTTGCTCAGGGAGATGCGGGAGGCGAATGCGCTGTCCGTCAACGCAATTTGCTACTCCACTGGCATCAGCGCGTGCGGCAGAGGCGAGCAGTGGCAGCATGCTCTAGCGCTACTCAGAGAGATGCGGCAGGCGAAGGAGGTGCTGGTCGATGCCATCTGCTACACCACTGGCATCAGCGCATGCGGGAATGCCGAGCAGTGGCAACACGCTCTTGTGCTACTCAGAGAGATGCGAGGTGTGGAATTGAAATCCAACGTGGCCAGCTGCAACGCTGGCATCAGCGCTTGCGGGAAAGGTAAGCAGTGGCGGCGCGCCTTGGCGCTGCTCAGAGAGATGCGGGAGGCGAAGTTAATGCCCACTACCAGGTGCTACGGTGCTGGGATGATGGCGTGCGAGAAGAGCGAGCAGTGGCAGCCCGCCTTGGTACTGCTCAGCGAGATGTGTGAAGCAACTTTGGAACCCGACGTCATCTGCTACACCACTGGCATCAGCGCGTGTGGGAAAGGCGGACATTGGGAGCTGGCTCTGGCGCTGTTCAGTCAGATACGAAAGGCGACGTTGGAGCCCAACGTCGTCAGCTACAGTGCTAGTATCAGCGCTTGCGAGAAAGGCGAGCAGTGGCAGCATGCCCTGGCGCTTCTGAGCGCAATACCGGAGGCGAACCTGGAGTCCAACGTCATCACCTGCAACGCCGGGATCAGCGCGTGCGAGAAGAGCGGGCAGTGGCAGCGGGCTTTGTTGTTGCTCAGCGATGTGTTAGAGGTGAAGCTGGAGCCCGACGTTGTCTCTATTCCGTTGCAGGTCCCCGCGCGTGCGAAGCAATCTTACACGTTCTACGTGCCCCCACCATCCCAACCAGGAACGATGTCCAGATGGATTGCATTGATCGGGAAGCATAGGAGCATCAGTGGAACAAAGTGTGGGCAGTTGTCGAACCGCATCTGTGGATCCGCCCGAGCAGGATAAACATGATGAGGAGGCGGGGGAGGAGTGATGAGGAGGTGCAGGAGAAAAGATGTTGCTGATGATGATGGTGATGATGATGATGACGACGATGGTAATGATGATGCTGATGATGATGGTGATGATGATGATGCTGATGATGAGTATGATGTTGATGCCGATTCTGATATTGGTTATGCTTGAATATGCCCAGGGCGTTTGTTTACTATGTGATGGAAATCATTGTTTAGCTTTTTCGGCCTCAACAAAAACTAACAACGCTGAAAACAGGAATCTTCTTTTTGTTGCGTCTTCAGCTGCGTCCTCTTAGCGTTTTCGATCAGTTGGTTGCATTGCTTCACGTCGCCGTAACCACCAGTGCTGGCATGGCCCGATGGCCGATTGCCCCTCCTGCAGCCGTCGGGCCTCGGGGCCTCTTTCGGGCCGGTGCTAGAAAGATGTTGGTGCTGTGCGTTTTTAGCTCTACGATCAGGAGGGGAAAAAACACACAGACACAATTAATCGTCGATCCCAAGGAAAATATGGGAAAATATGGGAAGTGGTGGGGAAGACAAAAACCCAGAAAATATATGAAAATATGGGACATCTTTTTATTTGTGTGTATTTCGAGGGAGACGGCATACGAGGGAGACCGGCGGCAGAAACGAAAAAGCAGAAGTAAAGACAGCAGGGAAGACAAGGAGCAGCCTTCGACCAGAACGCAACAAAAAAACGCTAAACAAGTGATGATCCACAGCGACGGGTCTGAACACGCTGAAACGTGTAGCTAAAAACGCTAAAACACCGTCGCATGTTTTTAGCGTTTTCAGTTTTCAAGAGCCCACAGTGCAACAAAGCATCTTAAATGGAAACGCCCAGGACGTCGTTGCTGCTGCTACTGATGCTGGTATGGGCCGCGGGGTGTTGCTGCTGCTTATGTAGGTGGTGATGCTGATGATGATGGCGGTGGTGATGACGATGACTATGACTATGATGATGATGATCATGATGATGATGATGATGATGATGATGATGATGATGATGATGATGATGATGATGATCATCATGCTTATGATGATGATGATGATGCTAATGATGATGAAGATGATGATGTTGATCCTGATGATGATGGTGCTGATGATGCTGATGATGATGCTGATGCTGATGATGCCGATGATGCTGATGATGCTAATGCTGATGATGCTGATGATAATGCTGATGATACTGATGATGAAGGTGATGCTGATTATGATGATGCTGCTGATGATGCTGGTGATGCTGATCATGATGGTGGTGCCGATGACGATGCTGCTGATGATGCTGGTGATGCTGATGATGATGATGATGATGGTGATGATGGGGAGCAGGATGCTGATGCTAATGCTGATGATGCTGATGCTGATGCTGATGATGGTGGTGCTGATGCTGCTGCTGATGATGATGCTGCAGATGATGACGCTGATGATGATAATGATAATGCTGCTGATGATGATGATGCTGGTGATGCTGATGCCACTGATGATGCTGATGATGACGATGACGATGACGATGCTGATGATGATGATGATGATGATGATGATCATCATGGTGATGGTGATGGTGATGGTGATGGTGATGGTGATGGTGATGATGATGATGATGATGATGATGATGATGATGGTGATGTTGATGGGCGGGCAACATGGTGAAGAGGCATAAGATACGCAAGAGGAGCAGCAGGAAGTGAATGAGGAGGAGTGACTGGGAGGATGAAGAAGGTGGGCAGACGGAACATAAGTTTGACGGCCCACTTCCTCACTCAATTTCTGTTGAGAGGTAGGGGTGACGAAGCTGAAGAGGAATGTGAGGACGAGGAGGATAAGGAGGAAGGGAATGATGAGGCGCAGAAAGTGGAAGGGGGATGAGGTGAGAGGATGAGGATGAGAGGGAGGAGGAGAAAGATGAGGAGGAGGGGAGGAGGAGGAGGAGGAGGAGGAGGAGGAGGAGGAGGAGGAGACGGTTCGGGAGGAAATCGGCGACGGCGACGACGACGACGACGAATCAACCATAAAGGCTGTTGCTGATGTTTGCCTCTGTCAACTTCTTGGAGCCATCTTGGAGCCTTCTTGGGTCATTTTGGTGGGGCCGTCGACTCGGTGCCCTCTCGGGTTTCTCTTGGGACTCTCTTGCGGGCCTTTCGATCCCTCTCGAGACAATGTTGGAGGCCATCGGGCAACCAGCGCGGATTAGCGCCGCCCCTGTTGAGCCCGAGCAGTAGTTCCTTCTTCGGCCGCTCGGAGGGCACTTTTGCAATCTCTTGGGGCCGTCTTCAGGCCTGCCTGGGCCCCTCTTGGCTACCTGTCGGTTAATGTTTGAGCCACCTTGAGGCTTCAAATGTCAATGCGCAACGAAACAGCGAGATTGCAGCACATATGTGTTTGCATCTGGTTTTGGACGGGTTCGGGCTTCTTGGCGGCCATCCTTGGGAGGCTCCTTTACCACTGAGAGCCGCCTTCGGGGGGTCGGGGAGTGGTCTTGGGACCTCCTGTAGTTGTAGACCATCTGAAGTCATCTTCGACAATCGTACTTCATCTTGGAAGTCATCTTAGACTCGCTGGAGCCATCTCGGGGCTATCGTGGGCGACCTTGGACGCCTTGACTGGTCGCGCCCCCCCTCCGTCCATCCCACCCGCCCTCCCACTGCAGATGCCGCATCCCAGTCTCTTGCAGATGTAGGCAAGAGCTGCCGCCGATAACCAGCGGGAAGCAATGCAGACGCCAGCCAGGTGCGGAAAGCACGCGGTTGTGCTGCACATGCCAGCTGCGCCACGCGCACCAGGTGCGCCATATAGGGCAACCGTGACGGAGGGTTTGCCATCATTGTGTATTGTGAGTGAGAGTGTGGGCGTGCACCCGCAACCTTTTTTTCATTTGTGTTTGACAGGGATGGTGGGTCTGCACAGCTGGGAATTCCCCCCTTCCCCCGCCTTCCCTGTCACGAGCCCATGCAAAGTGATCGCGGGGAGTCCGCGCATGATCCAGAGTTTGGAGCAAAGTGCATCTTGTATTATTGCGAAGGCCTTACGGACAGTGCCGCCGACCCTGAAGACGACGACGATGAAAACGAGCAGGGGGGGGTAGGATGCGAAGGAGGAGGAGGAGGAGTGGGGGGGAAGAGGAAGGGTGGAGAGGTGGACGAGGGCGGATAAGGGGAGGGAAGGATGAAGAGGAGGAGGAGGAGGAGGAGGAGGACGAGGAGGAGGAGGAGGAGGAGGAGGAGTGGGGGAGCAGCGAGAGGAAGCGAGTAGGAACAACCAACTCTGGAAGCCTCGGCTCTCGACGGAAATGTGAGGGAGAGGGCGGGGGCAACACCTTTCCGAAAATCAATGAATATTGCCTCTCCAGTCCTTCTTAAGAGTCCTTGTGGGGCTCTTTTGACCCGTTTGAAGGCCCCCTTTGGCCGTCCTAGGCGTTCTTGGGCTGTCTTGTGGGGCTTGGGCCGTCTAGGGGCGGCTGTCTGCAGCACTTGGCGGCAGCACACATCAAAAGTCCGCATAAGCAGCAACATGTTGCTGGCAGCAACACCCTGAAGCTGCAGGCAGCAACAGCACAAGCGAAGTTCGGGCCCAACGTCCTTACGAAACTTTTTCGGCAACACCTCTGCTCTGGCGCCACGTGCCATCTTTGACAGATTTCGTGGCTGGTAGGCAATGGGTCAGCCTTAGTAAGCTACAGCGCTGGGATCAGTGCGTGCGAGAAGGGTGACCAGTGGCAGTGGGCTCTGGTGCTGCACAGCGAGATGTTGGAGGTGGGAGTGGAGCCCAATGTCGTCAGTTTCAGCGCTGGGATCAGCGCGTGCGAGAAGGGCGAGCAGTGGCAGCGGGCTTTGGTGCTGCTCAGGGAGATGTGGGAGGCGAAGCTGGAGCCCGACGCCATCTCTTCTTCAATGCCAGCGGCGCCGCATGCCAGAAGGGTGCCGGGGCAACGTGCATCAAAATCTGCCTGGCAGGGCCCGGCTCAGTCACGGCGCCCAGGGTGGGGGCCCAAGACGGCCCAGGAGGAGCTCCAAGACGTTCCAAGGGAGGCACTATACTGCCCAGTGGAGGCTCCAAGACGGCCACTAGAACCCCAAGACGGCCTGGGAGCGCCCCAAGGTGGCCCAAGATGGCGGCCGGACGGGCCACGAAGCCCCAAAGACGCCCCGAGAAGGCTCCAAGAGTATACACCCCCGCGAAAGCCTCCACAAGCAGCAGCTACTACTGTTTGAAATATTCAAATTCGGATGTTGTTCGCCTCTGGGCCCCCAGGGCTGCCCAAGAGGTCCCCGAGATCGATCAAAGACGCCCCAGAGGCTGAGGGCCCCGAGACGGCCTGCCAGGGCTCCAATACGGCCCAAGTGACCCCAAAGACGGTCTGGGAGGCCGCCAACATGGCCCCAAGACGGGCTCAAGGCGGCCCATGAACGCTCCAAGATGACCCCAAGGCACCCCGCGACCGCCCTGGACGCCCCCAGGCAGCACCCAGAGGCCCCAGGGACGTCCAGATATCCCGAGGAGGCTTGGGAGGGCCGTGGGCGCCCGAGAGGCCCCCAAGGAGGCCTCAAGCGGTCCCCAAGAGGGCCCCGCCACCGCCTGGAGCGGAGACCGGCGGCTCGGCTGCACGCGCGGCGAGGCCATTGAGAGATTCGTGTGCTGGCCGCTGGGCAAGCCTCGCTTCTCCTCGCTTGCCTCTCGTGCCGTCTTGCGTGCCAGGAAGAGCGAGAGGCAAGATCTGCCAGCCGTGGGAAGCCGCGGCCGAAGACTCTCGAGACGCGAGCGGCGCAGAGAGATCCGAGGCGGTTTTGGCGAAGACAGCACCAGAGACCCCCGAGCGGGCACGCCCCCCGCTGGTCCTCGCTGCTCCTCGCTGCTCCTCGCTGGGCAGCGCGCACGCCCCCCGCGCCCTTTCGCCCACGTCGCGCTGGCGACCCTCTGCACGCGTCGTGCGGCCCTTCCTCGGCGGGGAGGTGGGTGATTCCCACAGCGGGCCCTCCCCACCAAACCGCAGCGTGCTGGGCTCGATCTGGCCTCCCACCAAACCACCCCGACCCAACCCGAAGGCCTCAATCTACCCTCCATTTCCAGTGGGGGGGGGGTCGGGGAACATCGAAAAAGCACATATGGAGCCCATACCCCCTCAACCCGGAAATCGGGTCTTCGGGTTGGGTTGGGGTGGTCTGGTAGGTAGTCACGATCAGCCACCCCGCCCAGGTCTCCGCCGTAAGGTCCGTAGCTTCGTCGCGGGTGGCTCTTCTCTCCCGGCTTGCGGTTGTTTCCCCTCCCCTCGGCCCTCGTCTTCCTCATCCTCCTCTTCCCTTTCCTCCTGCTCCCTGCCTTATCTGCTTGCGACTGCTTCCCCTCTTCTCCTCTTCCTTGCCTCCTTCCCTTTCCTCCTGCTCCCTGCCTGCTGTCTCCGCCCGGCCCCCCTTCCGCCTGCCCGCCCGTCCCGCTGGCCCCAGCCTCCCGCCTGCGCGTTCGTCGTCGTCTGTCTACTTTTCCCCTCCTCTCCCCCCTTCGCCGGGCAACAAAGCCTGCTCCAGAGCAGCGTGGAGCTTCTTAAGACGATATTGCAGGCCTCCTGGCACTGATGTGTTCCCTGGCATGCTTCTCGCGTCACCCATTATTCCTCGCTGATCGTTCCTGTCTTGTTTGGCCTCTCTTGTCGAACCTGAGCCCTTGCTCCTCGCCTCTCCCTCCTCGGTCCACTCACAAGAAGCTGGTTGCGTCTGCTAAGTTGCAGGCTGCGTTTGCTACTTAGCAGCAACAGCGAACAGTAGCAGAACCCAGCCCGCAGCAAGCTGCAGCAGCTGCAACACACGACAACAGCAAGCAGCTGTAAGCGGCAGGCAGAATAATTTTGCAGCTGAGGCAGCAGCAGCAGAGGCGAACGACGGGCCCAGCGTCATCAGAGAAGCCTTCTTGTAACATACCCGCCCTGCTTCTTCTGTATCAAATCGGACAGATCTGGCGACCGGCAGGCCACGAGTCCGCACTAATCGGCTACAGCGCTGGGATCAGCGCGTGCGAGAAGGGAGAGCAAGCGATATAAATGGAGACCAAGTATTCAGGCACCCTCGCGTCGACGGCATGGGGAGGTTAATGTGTCCGTCGCTCTTGAAATTCCTCTCGTCCCTCGCGCCTTCGGCCATTGCTTATCGCTCCTCCGTCTTGGCTTTGTTCTCATCTCACCTCACTCCTCTTTGTTTCTCTCTTTTTCCTCCCGGTTCCTGATGCTTTCCGCACTGGCAGGGCCCCTCACGGCCTCGGTGTGGCTCGACGTGCCTCGGAGGCAGTCCCCAGACAAAATGTACCATACGGGGAGCCCAATGCAGGAGACCACACGGGAGACCATCTAGGAGACCCGCGGGGACGATGCGGGAGGCCATCCTGGAGACCGTGCGGGAGACAACGCGGGAGACCGAACGGGAGACCATGCGGCAGACACCACCACGCGAGAGACCGTGCGGGAGACCAGAAGGAGAGATTTCGACACTCTCTTACGGGAGACCATACGCGAGACAATGCGGGGGACCCGACGGTATACCATCTTGGAGGCCATAGTGGAGGCAGAACGGGAGACCAAATGGGAGACTTGGAGTAATGATATTGTTGGATCTTTACAGGCCAGTTGTGTACATCAAAGAAGTCTGGCGATCATGCCGCGAGCAGGCCACTGAGCAAGCAACTTCTCTGTCAGGATTTCAGGCAGGACGTCACGCAGACAAGCGATCCTCACCTCTGCATGCGAGTGCGCTTTCTTGGGTTCTAGGAGGATTCTGCTCAGACGTCTTGCCGTGAACGTAGTTGACGGGTCAGCCCCAGTCTCTGCTAAGTTGCAGCGACCTTTGCGTGCAAGAGGGGCCTGGGAGCTAATCGACTTCTGAAGACCCAGGGGTCGTCCCGAGAGCCCTCTGGATTCCCAGGTGGCTCCAGAGAACCCCCAGATGGCTCAAGACGGCCTCAGGCGGCCCCAATACGGCATCCCCAGCTTGCACCAAAACTACCCAACAGGGCTGCAAGACTGCCCAAGAGGGCTCCAAGTGGCCCCCGAGCAGGGCTCCGCGAGGCCACCATCATGTTCTCGCCTGCTCGGGCTCCCGACGCTCCAAGACGGTCCAGGAGACCCCAAATGTCGGCCCAAGACGGTCCAGGCCTCCAAAGAACGCCCCAGACAGACCAAGATGGCCCCTAGACGACCCAAGAGGCCTCCACAACGGATGACGGCCCCAAGAGGGCTCCAAGAGGGTGAATTCGAATTGAGGTTTCGCACCCTCGGCCCCAAGATAACCCCCGAGACCGCTAGCAGGCCCCCAAGAGGCCCCCCAGAAGCTCCAGGAGGCCCCCCATAGGCCCAAGACTGGATGATCGGCAACACTCGAGCCGAAAGCATGGGCAAATTTGCGTGCTGGCCTATTATCTGGGCTCCCTTATCGCCCCTTGCTCTCCGCTCCTCGCTCCTCTCCGCTCTCCTCTAGCATCTCGCCTCTCTCTCCTTGCTTCTGGTTCCCCTCTTCTCACTCCTCCTCGCTCCTCTCACCTCTCTCCTGGGCCCATCGCGGCTCTTTCGTCGCTGCTGGCGTCTGCCTCCCCCTACTCATCGACTCTCCCTCACCCCTCCTCACCTCACCCCTCTCTCTCTCTTTCTCACCTCGGCCGTTGCTCCTCAATTCTCGCTCCTTGCTTCTCGCTGATCGCTCCTCGCTTCCCCCATTCCCCCCCTCGCGACCCTGACCCCTCGCTCCTGGCTTCTCGCTCGTCGGTTCACTCACGAGCTGCAGAAACAGTAATCTGCAGCCTCACGCAGCAACTGCGAAAAGCAGCAGTCTGCAGCAAACAGCGGCAGCACAGCAACAGTAAGCAGCAGCAGCAGCAGCAGCAGCGGCAGCAGCGGCAGCAGCAGCAGCAGCAGCAACATGCCGCAGGCAACAGCACCCTTCAGTTGCTGGCAGGGAGCAGCATCAGAGGCGAACTTCGGGCCCAACGTCAGCACGAACGCCTTGTCGCAACACCTCTGCCTGGGCTCAATGTGCCGTGCCGGACAGATTTCGCGGCCTACGAGGGAGGAGGGAGGAGGGAGGAGGGAGGAGGGAGGAGGGAGGAGGAGGAGGAGGAGGAGGAGGGGGAGGAGGAGGAGGAGGAGGAGGAGGAGGAGGAGGAGGAAGAGGAGTGCGAGATGGCACCGGCAGAACTCGGCCCAGGGCGGCTCCCGGCGCTCTGAGGGCGGCCTTGGACGGCCGCCCTGAAGGCTCCAAGACGGTCCAAGACGGCTGACATCAGGAGGGGAAAAAACACACAGACACAATTAATCGGCGATCCCCAGGAAAATATGGGAAAATATGGGAAGTGGGGGGAAGACAGAAACCCAGAAAATATGGGAAAATATGGGGGATCTTTTTATTTGTGTGTATTTATTTGTGTGTCCCGGGGCCCCTTCATGACAGCCGCACAGGAGAGCGCCCAGACGGCCCAGGAGGACGCCAAGCGAGTCCCAACATAGCCCAAGACGGGCCCAAAACAAGCCAGGAGGCTCCCAAGACGGCTGAACCCGAGGACGGCCCGACGAGTTCAAGCTCATAGATTCATTTGCGGCTTCTGAGCGATTTGATGACGGCCCGACGAATTCCAAACCATCTCTATGGTTTTTGATCGGTTTTCGAGTTCTTCCCACATCCAGCCCAGAACAGCCCCAGACGGCTCCAGAGCCCTCCAAGATCACCCCAACAATAGCACAATAATCTTGAAAGAGAGGCCCAATAGTCCTCGAGATCGCCCCGAGCCTCCTGAAGAGGCCTCCAAAAAAGATCTCAAGGCGGCTTGAGAGAGCCCCTCGACGGCTCAAGAAAATCCCAAGGCGGCCCAAGAGGCACCCAAGACGGCCCAAGATGGCCAGAGATGAACCACTATAGAGCC